CACAGAGCTGAGACAGAATGGTATATAGCTCCCTGAATCTTTCTTTTTTTTTCTTTCTTGAAAATGGGAGGTTTGTTTCCCCTTTTCCAAATCCTTTTAATCGGTTAAGTTCTTCATTTATTGATCCTGGTTCCATTTTGAACCCTGTTACGTATTGATTACCTCAATTGTTCTGTCAATAATGTTTGCACAATTACAGTAAGAGCTCCATAAAACAGCTTTTAGAAACACTTTGTGAAAGTCATGCAAGTACCCCCAATTCACTTTGCAAATCCAGTTTCTTAACTTGAACTACAAACTTGTTGATCAAGAAGCATGAAAACAAAATCAACTTGACCTAAATCTACTGAAGTAAAAAATCTGAATCAGTGGTCACTGAAATATGGTACTGATTAAAAAAATTGTTTGACTTAGTATTTATATAATCTGTTCTCAAAACTTTGAACCCCTCTGAGACTGTAGGAGTGGACATCACTCACAAAAGTTTAACAAGGCATGAAATCTGCAGAAAAGCCATTTCTTTTTCAAACACCACATTACTTTTTTTAAGACACAAAAACTGCACAAATGGACAGGAAAATGTAGTTTCCCAAAATGATCTCAGAAGTCATTACCCCACTATTCAATCAAGAGCAACTCCCAAATACTCTGTGCTGCTCAGAAAGTTTCTTTCACTAAAAGAGAAGGAAAAATAGCAGACAATTTCAGTACCATACTTGATTGCAGAAATACTGCCTGGTATTATGTAAAACAGTACATAAGAATAGAGAATTTGGCATCACTTGATGGATACAGAACTAAGAAAGTTTATGTTCTGTCTTTAGCAACAGCCTGTGCCTTATGCTTGAAAGACTGATGAAGGAAAAACCTAATTTGCCTGCACAATTTCACAGTGTGATACACACAAGAACATAGACAACGCTTTCCAGAACTTGTTGCCTTTAGCCTGCAAACCTTCAGCATGCAATGTCTCTACCAGTACTTAATTTTTCAGGTTGGAATTTTGAACTTTAATTTACTGATTATTAGTTACTGAAGTATTTAGACCACAATACATTGCATTTCCATATTTTAAGTAATTTTTTAGATATATTAAATCAAATTATGCTATTCTAAACTTACATTTACATTGGGAATTTGTTATTCCAAACAAAAATGAAGACTTCATAATTTTAATGCTATAGGATAGATATCTTTTTTAAGGAAATTTTCAATGTGTATCAATGTGTTTTAAATTTTTAGATTAAGGAGAACTGTAGTTGCAATATAATATATTAAAATTTCAAATAAAAGCCTCACTTAAACCAGTTGAATGAGAGGGATATGGTATAGCCCTGTGTTATACCACATTCACAGGTGTATCTGTGGATGCATAAGTTTTACGAAACAGCTGAATGGAATATTTTAACTTATTAAATTGCACCTTTTATTAGTCTTCATAAGAATATGCTTTCAAGTTGAGGAATACTCCTTCAGTAATAGGTCTCTGGCATGGTTTGACAAACATCTCACTGCATTTAAGTTGTTATGAATTCGGGACAATCCTACAAGAACCATAAGACCCATATTGACTCTTTACTGATTCTCTTGTAATTAAAGTTTTTAACAGCTCTAATTACCTTATATAAACTATTATTTAATACAAAATAGATTTACTCAAATAAAGAGTAAATTAAAAAAATATTTGAATTAGCAGGGCAAAAATCCAGAAACAAAAGAAGTGAAAAGAGGAAGTTTAAGGATGTTCGAAATCTTAGTACAGAACAGTGATTGCAAATGCTACATTCCCAAGTGTCTACTCTACAAATCTGTGCCTTTCTATGAAAATCATTGAGCTACATTTGAGCATAAAGATACAACTATTTGAGAATGCTTGCAGTCAAGAAGACAACGGCTGCAGATATAAGTAGTTTCCTTGTGTAAAGCAAAACAGTTTAAAAAAGTGCTTCTTGCAGTTCATCATAGTCCATCTACCTTTTGCAGATTAAGAACCTAAAAGACATCTCCTAAGCCTTGCACTCAGTCTTGCACATATGACCAGGCACCCTATGAAGGAGATTAGATGCTTTTCACGTCTTACTGCATGCTTCAACATGCAGGGTTTGTGAGCAGATTTCTTGGTTTTCCTTCTCCTTCAACTAACAGAAGTCTTCACCTTAAGTCTGTTTCACCCTTTCTGTTTTGCGCCACAGGTCTTTGCAAGGTCATCACTGTTAACATGGTCACAAAAGATTTAAACTTGCAAGCAGAGAGCTTCCAAAAGAATCAAATACACAATCAAATATATCAAATATATGAAAAAACAACAAACCAAAGACAGTTCAGATTTACCAAACAATTAGTGCTTTATAGGAATTCCTTTCAGGTAAGCTCGAAAATCAGCTGACATTGAATTTGAAATAAACAAGAGCATTATGAAGACTTTCCTTGAAGCTAAGTATGCAAGTTCCACATGCTGTTTTAAATGTCAGCAGACTTAGCTGCCCACTAGCTTCAAACTTAGTAGCTTGCTGAAGTTAGTAACCTGCTTAAACTTTCTCAAGTCTTAGTACTCAAAACGGATTTATTTGATAATTAGATTGTGCAGCTTTTTACTTTATTCTTTAATTCATTATACTTATTTGTAGACAAAAACTTTTTGGCTCAGGTACATTTTAATTTATGAACAGCTTTTGCTTATTATTTTTTCATGCTGCCATGTTACTCCACTTGACATGGGCTATTCCATTTGACATGGAGCTAATTCAGCCTGGAGAAGGCTTCAGGGAGATCTTACAGCAGTCTTCCAATACCTAAAAGGGACCTACAGGAAAGATGAGGGGGACACTTTCCAGTAGAGTGTAGTAATAGAACAAGGGGTAACAGTTTTAAACTGGAAGAGGGTAGACACAGGTTAGATATTAGGATGAAATTCTTCACCACTAGGGTATTAAAGCACTGGAATAGGTTGCCCAGGGAGGCTTTGAATGCTTCCTCCCTGGAGGTGTTCCAGGCCAGGCTGGATGAGGCTTTGTACAACCTGGTCTAGTGGGAGGTGTCCCTGCTGATAGCAAGGAGGCTGAAACTTGATGACCTTTAAGGTCCCTTCCAACCTTAATCATTCTATTATTATATGACATAAAAACCTGAAAGATCTTAAAGAGGTGCAGTTCAACCTGTAAAGAGACAACACTCTCTCCCTAGAGTTAACTTTGCTGTAATACAAACCTCATTATTTTGGGCTGGTGTTTTAAGACTGTCTTCTAGGAAATGTAAATAGTTGTTTCAAATGTATTACTGCTAATTGTATCACTTCCAAAGCTGACTCACAGACATATTCACCTTAAGCACCTTGCCTCATAAAGTCATGATTTAAATCAAAGATAAATTTGACTTCTTCTTTTGTTCTTACTCAGGTTACAAAAATTAACAGTAAAGAACACATTATGATACTTGGTTGCTCTCCACAAGTACAAAAAATGGAAATTAAGGTGATTAAAGAATTTGAAGTGGAGGACCTAAGGGTTAGAACAAAGATTCAATAACCTGACAAATTTGTGCATATCCATTGACACTTGCAAGTATAATCTCAAATATGATACAGTCTAAATTTTGAACATGAATTCTAATGGCAGAACTTTTGTTGTCTTTATTTGTCAAGTTATAATTCTTATTCTTAAGACAAAGCACCCTAAAGTACCTTAAAGCTGGCCAACTGAAGATTTCACATTCTGATTTACCATTCTTATTTTAGAATTTTGCCCAAGTTTAGCAGATAGAAATGAAATCAGCTGCCTGTAGACTTGAAGTAATCTTATTTATTCACGCAAACACCACTAAACTTATTAATGTATTACAGCCATTTTAAATACTCCAAAATTCAACACAATAAAGGCCTATAAATAACTACAGTGTAACTGTGTAATAACATAACTATCCAAACAACTATAGAAACTGAACAAGTCAGTAAAAAGCTAAAGATTTCCAAATTCCAAAGGGATTATTTTTTTCCAGCAACAGAAGTGCACCACATGAAGAGCTCAGTAGTTCATCTATTTGAGACATGGCAGAAAGTCAAAAGCATATTCAGAAGTCCTAATATCCTGAGGAACGACATATTTCTAGGCTTTATTCTTATACTCATATTAGATTGGGGTGACAATTCAAACATCCCCTTCAATCTTATCTCTGCTTCTGTAACAGAAGAAACTTTTTAGGCAGATACATACTCAGTAACTGGTGCACGAGCCAACACTAATACTCTAAGACAACTCTCAAAATCCCACAACAGACAGCATAGTTCAAGGAACACCAGCTCAATACTATCATACTGCCATAATTCACTGTGCAAAAAAGTTATCGCGCTACTGTTTTCTGAAGGTTTTTCATACATAGCTCTATATACTCTTACTTGTAGTGACCATGACATTGGATCCTTCATCTGACAGTCTTGTTTAAAATCTTTAAAATACATGAAGTATTGACTTTTTTTTTTTAAAAAAAACTGGTTACTTAATATTTTCGGTGATTCTGGTAAATGCTTTTTAATTGCCCTGCCAAATTAAAAAAGAGAATGATTGCTATGAAGTCCTAGACCTGCCAGACTTCATTATTTAAATGGTTATTACCCTACCCCTAAGCTATTTAAATTCTATTTTTTATCTGCATAGTCTTGCCCAAAAGAAGACATGTAGCACTTCAATTGTCCTCTGATTTGATGACTCACAGATATCTTTTAATTCACAACTATTTTTTCATTAATTCATCATGATAGTGACTTTTTTTTTTTTTTACATAAAAGCAAAAGTGAAAAGTTACTGTGCTAATGCATTTCAGTTGTTTGCAGGCTAAATCAGTGAACATTTACTAATAAAACCCCCTTATCATCAATGTAATCCAATAAAACAATAATGGAAAGATATTCCTTTTAACATTTTACTTGTACTTTTTTCTGCCTGCTAGGAATTCTAGTTATGAGCTTCATTGTGCCAAAGACAGAGCAGTCTTTTCCAGACACTTACCCTCTGACAGCATGAATAAGTCTCAGTGATGGATAGGCGGTTCGCACTTTCAATTTATTCTTAAGGATTAATGCATTAACCCATTCCACGTGCTTCTCTCCACCTTTGACCATGAAAGCAGGGATCCAAAGAACACTGTCATTCAGCATGGACAGTCTATGCACAAATTTTTCTCTGTCACTCTCATTCCGAAAGCCTCCAAATGCTCTTTGTACAACTGATGGGTTCATGGTAATAAAATCAGATTTAGTTCCCACATCGGCAGCAAACTCCACCACAGGAGCTAGATTGCACCTGGAGAGGAAGGAATTAATGGAAAAATAAACGTATATATTAGCATTAACTCAGAAAATTGTGTGCATGAAAGGAAAGCTGAAAATGAACATATAAGCCCATTTCAATTTAACATGAGGAAAAAACACCAGTGATAACAGGTGTGATAACATGCAGTATTTTACTCAACTTGAACACTTGTTAGACAAATGTCTTAAAAACATTAAAACATCCTTTTGCATCTTTTTGCCACCATCTTTCTCCGAGGTGGGAAAAGTAAAAGCAAAAACTCATAATGACAACTATTTCTATATTGTTTTCTGTCACTTCATTTGTTCTCTGCTTTTTCACTCATTTCAAACAAAAACAATAGAAACTTCTGCTTCAAAACCAAAAAGACCTGTCTCTTGCCCAACCTCCTTTATATCCATATAATTCCAGGCTGTCAAATGAGGCCAGCTATTCCCCTTTATTTCTTGTTGATTTGTGAAGTTCAAAGGTATTCAACTGAGCATGTTTGAAGAACAAATAAAAAGTGAGGTGTATCAACATTTTTTCCCAAACTGCAGGGAAACATTTTTAGAGAAATGTAAAAGGATTTAGATGTGTGACTTCCAGTTACCTTAATAGCACGTCTGGTTCAACAACAAACATCACACTGAAATTATCCATGTTGCACATAAGTAATAAAATAATTTACCATGGGCTATCTTTATTGTTCAAGGGCTAAGAAAGTGTTTTTGAAAGAGAAAACATTTTTAATTTATTCAACCAAGGCTTCCATAAAAATATTAATTTTGTTTGGAATAAAAACAACACTCAGTAAGAATAAGTAGCAAAAACCTCTTTTCTGGTCCTTGTTTCATTTTCACTGTAAAAATAATCTTCTTGTCAACAATATGGACATACATTTAAATTTCGGGAATCACACAGTGAAGGATACTGTTTCAGATTAATTTCAGATAATGTCATAGAATCATTAAGGTTGGAAGGGACCTTAAAGGTCATCAAGTTCCAACCTCCCTGCCATGAGCCCTAGATACTTAAAGCCCCAGAAGGAGTCAGGATAAAGGAAGAGTTTGCTTTGGTAGATGAGGACTGGGTTAGGGATCAGTTGAGTAATCTGGACATCCATAAATCAATGGGTCTGGATGGAATGCACCCGTGGGTGCTGAGGGA